AGAGATGGGGAAGGGGATGGAGGAAAAGAGGAATATTTAATTTTTCACATTTATATATCAGATTGTCAACTGATATAAAATAATGAAGTACCATTGATTTAACTGTTGACTTAAAGCAGCATTATAGCATGCAGAGTTTCCTGTGGCCAGGTACTGGCTTGATCTCAGCCAATTTAAACTGCAGCCTCCTACCTTCATCTTAAAAGACCAGATTAATTAAGCTGATTGGCAAACTTTGGGTTGGGGAGGGCTCTTAACGTTGCAAGTCTCCAAGTGCTGCTGGAGGGCATTGCCAGAGGATGAGCTAGCAAGTATCCAAGGGCTCCTAGGTGGTCTGGGCAGTGTGACGTTGCTCCCACTGTCTGGGTGATGTGGCTCTGCTCAGTCCCTAATTTGACAAGTTGGTGGCGTTCAGGGCAGCAAGATCCTCTAACTGACCTCATAGGCTAATTTTTACTCCTGGCTAAACAAGCACCATGTGTTTCCCTGGGCTTTTTTTTCCCCTTTGGCAGAATTTGTGCAGACACATCTGTCCTGCATGTGGGTCCTGGAGGGATCAGGCTTCTCCAGGCACAGATCATGCTAAAACTTACTACGCTTATTTTCTGCCGGGTTGTAAACAAGGGCATTGGTCTAGCAACAAGGTGAAGGCTGTCTGCCCTATGTTACTGAGATCCTGTCCTGCTTCAGGACACTGCCTCAGCTCTTCAAGCTTTGTGCACTGAGCGTGAAGCTCACTCAGGTGCTGCTCCTCTGGCTATGTTTCTCTCAATGTTTGTACAAAGCAGAGCTCTGACCTCCTTTGGGCTCTGACCTCAGGTGTGTCTGGCTGCTGGATCTGTGTTGCTAACTGGTAGACCCATGGAGCCCCCCTAGGAAGATCAGCCAAGTGCTGCAGGCTCTATCCAAGGAGCCAGATGTTTCCTGTCGCATAAGCTGGCACTGTGCTGTCTCGCAGATCAAAAGATTCTTGAGATTTGTGACTGTCTTCCCAGTTTATCCATCCAAATACAGCAGACCCCAGGAGGTGATACGGGGCATATCAAGGGTGAGATGGAGATGAATCTTCATGTGAAACACTGAATTCTTTCCTGTTTCGGAGTAAAAGATTTACTGTTGTGAAAAGCAGTTGATGGCCAAATATTTTAGCATACATGAGGCAGTGCCTGCTTTTTTACCTCGGTAGGGCAAAAGTTAGACAACTCTTTACACAATACCATGAGTTTTAAGAAACTGTGTGACTAAAGCAGTCCAGGTTTTCCTATGTAAAGTAAGACTGTTACTGCCTTTGCAGACAGACCATGTTGTGTTAGGCTTTCTCCTGCTTACTATCACAAGGAGTTGTCTCCTGCTCCATCTTGACACAGTACTGACCTGTTTCCTTGGCAGACCACCAGTGCTCGTATCTTCTGCATCTCTTTCATCCGTCAAGGGGGAAGGTGGGATGTGTCCTTGCAGAATACACCCTGGGGAGCATAAGGCTGGACAGGCCTGGAGGAACAAAGCAGGGATGAAGCTGGCAGGAGCTGTGCAATTTGTGCAGACACATCTGTCCTGCATGTGGGTCCTGGAGGGATCAGGCTTCTCCAGGCACAGATCATGCTAAAACTTACTACACTTATTTTCTGCCGGGTTGTAAACAAGGGCATTGGTCTAGCAACAAGGTGAAGGCTGTCTGCCCTATGTTACTGAGATCCTGTCCTGCTTCAGGACACTGCCTCAGCTCAACAAGCTTTGTGCACTGAGCGTGAAGCTCAATCAGGTGCTCCTCTGGCTATGTTTCTCTCAATGTTTGTACAAAGCAGAGCTCTGACCTCCTTTGGGCTCTGACCTCAGGTGTGTCTGGCTGCTGGATCTGTGTTGCTAACTGGTAGACCCATGGAGCCCCCCTAGGAAGATCAGCCAAGTGCTGCAGGCTCTATCCAAGGAGCCAGATGTTTCCTGTCGCATAAGCTGGCACTGTGCTGTCTTGCAGATCAAAAGATTCTTGAGATTTGTGACTGTCTTCCCAGTTTATCCATCCAAATACAGCAGACCCCAGGAGGTGATACGGGGCATATCAAGGGTGAGATGGAGATGAATCTTCATGTGAAACACTGAATTCTTTCCTGTTTCGGAGTAAAAGATTTACTGTTGTGAAAAGCAGTTGATGGCCAAATATTTTAGCATACATGAGGCAGTGCCTGCTTTTTTACCTCGGTAGGGCAAAAGTTAGACAACTCTTTACACAATACCATGAGCTTTAAGAAACTGTGTGACTAAAGCAGTCCAGGTTTTCCTATGTAAAGTAAGACTGTTACTGCCTTTGCAGACAGACCATGTTGTGTTAGGCTTTCTCCTGCTTACTATCACAAGGAGTTGTCTCCTGCTCCATCTTGATACAGTACTGACCTGTTTCCTTGGCAGACCACCAGTGCTCGTATCTTCTGCATCTCTTTCATCCGTCAAGGTGGAAGGTGGGATGTGTCCTTGCAGAATACACCCTGGGGAGCATAAGGCTGGACAGGCCTGGAGGAACAAAGCAGGGATGAAGCTGGCAGGAGCTGTGCAGTGGGGCAGAGTTGGGAAGGGGCTGGGGGAAGAAGTGGGCACTCCTTAGTGCTGTTGGCTTGCCACACTCATGAAAACACCACAACAGAGAGTTTTTGGGGTGATTAGTGGTAAAAGGTGGTGCATCTCCTGACAGTTGAATGGCTCACTGCTTTCTGTTCCTCTTGGCAGGAACTTTGCATCTGGCTGCCACCTTCTCAGGAGCATCCTCACCTCATTTATTTAAGCTCCCAAGCAATTAGTCTTCCTTCTTACACTGAGATGCTCTGGGTTTCCTGAAAAACCTCTTGAAATTCAAGGCTCTCTGTATGTAGATTCCCCCCCCCCCACCTTGAGATCTTGCAACTTACCTATTTTAAAAGCCATTCTGCTCCACTCCAGCAGGTTGCAGGAGTCCACACCATTGGCTGCACTCTTTCTCCCGGCATTGACCCTTTCCGGTAGCAAGGGCAGGCCTTGACTGTAAATTTGTCTGACATGTAATCTACCTTGATACTAAGTCCTTTAGACCAAAATTACTTGCCTGTGCTAGTTATGAAAAAGGGACTGGAGTCTGCTCCCATGTGTACATGAGCTGCTGTGAGAAACTTGTGTGTTCATTGAAGGTAACTACAGATATGGGGGAAGAGGATTCTGGACACACCTTTCAGCCAGCTGTGGTCAGAGCTGGGGAGTCTAATCTCTGTTGGTGGGATATCAGTGAGGACATTGTCTGGGGTTAAAAAGAGATGAGGATTTGTCTTGCAATTCCAGGCCAGAGAATCAATTTGAATTGGCAGGTAACCTCCTATTGCACTTAGAGGTTTCTGTTTAGAGACTTCTGCATAAAAGGGTATTTGGTCTTTTTCATGACATCTGTGTCAAAAGCATGTTCCTCATGCATTGACCTTCTGGAATAAAAAATTGGAGGTGTGTCTGTTTAAAAGCAAAAATAGAAGTGCTTGAGTCAAACACTCTCTTCCTTTCAGCGACACTTCTCTGTGGGAACCACTTTTTTATTCTTGAGCTATATAGTTTCCCAGCAGGTACCTGTTGTGTAGGTATTTTCTCATCCCTTTTCTAAAATCAGAGGAGGGTGCTGCAACTCTTTACTTTGACCTGCTCAACACAAGGCAGGGAATCCCACACTGGTCTCAATTGTCCTGCCTGAGCTAGAGCTAAGTGCAGGTTAAAGGTTCTGACAGAAAACTAATACCCTTAATAGACTTATGTTGTATGAGCCTGAGGAGGTATGTGAAGGGGACCTGAAGGCAGCCCAGGTCTCTGGAGCCAATACTCACGGCATGGCAGAAGAGCTGACTGACTCCAGAGCACTGTGACCCAGCTGCAGTGCCATAGCCATCTCACAAAGCAATTTAGACCATTCCGTACACCTTATTGCCTTACGCAGCCTATAAGCAAAGGGACACCTCTTGCACCTTACCCTCTTTCTGTGCTTATCGTGGTTTGGCCAAACACTGTTACATAAAACTTCCCTTCTTCCTTGTATGCTTGAGTTTTGTGATGGATTACTTTAGCAAATGGGTAACTTCATTAATGGATGTGCCTCCACCCTGTCGGTGCTGGTGAGAGCTTCAGTCATAGCTAGCTCCTAGTTAGGCAGATGCAAAACCACAGTGGCTGTCCCTGCTTCAACAAAGCAATTCACATCCAATGTGGTTACTTACCTAAATCGTGAGGACTGGGTTTGGGGTTTTCTGCTTGCTGGGTGACTCTTGCCACTTGCTGTCCAAATGTTTGTTCCTGACTCGAGCTCTTCACCACTCAGCAACTGACCTTTTGTCACCGTGAAGCAGCTCTGCTCCGTGCCCTGAAACACTGACTCCACGCATGACTGGTTCAATGGAGGTTGGTGAGTGGACCAGCTCAGGAGGTAGTCCATGCACAGAACTGGATAGCAGAAAGGTCAGGTCTGACAGAGCTATGGAGTGGGGAAAGCTGGAAGAACTGGGTAGCAAATTGAAGGCCAAGTTGCATAGCAGAGATAGAAGAGGAACCAGTTGAGAGATTCAGGAGAGATCTTGAATGGGTTTCATATGGGCTAGGAAGAAGGGCTGTCCAGTGGCTGTGTTTGTGTACAAACAGGAGAGGGGTGGGAGAGAGCTCCAGGCTTGTGGAGCATGACTGCTCATAAGCCTTGCTTCTTGCTGGATAGACCCAGAGAGATGGTTAGTGGCATTGAGGAGGAAGAGGTTTTCAGCCTGGGCTCTCCACAAGGGTGAAGGAGGAAGCTGAGAGGACTCCTGAGCTGGAGACCAGTGTTTTCAGCAACGGCGGGGAAGCATTTGTGAGGGAGCATAAGGGAGTGAGTTTAGCTGTTGTGT